ATTATTTTCAAAGTTTGGTTTTTGTGAGTTGTTTTGTGTTTCGCGCAAAGCTACACGAGGGCTATCTGCGCTAGCCGTCCCTTATTTAGCAGTGAAAGACTAGAAGGAAGGCAGCTAGTCATCACCACCCACCACCAACTCTTGTGCTACTCTTTTACCAAGGAATAGTGGAATTAACCGTCACATTATAACACTCCCACGGTTGAAAGGGCGAACATGTTTGATGGGACGGGGATTCGAATCCGCGACTCGCAAATAGCAAGTCTAGTGCCCTAACCACTTAACCTAACCTAATCAACACGCCATGCCAAGCCTATGTTTTCAAAGAAGAAAATACACTTATTAATTAATATTTGAATTTTGTGATAAATTAAACTATATATATAAAAAACCTGTATTAATAATTAGTGAAGTGTAATCAGGTTAGTAACGTTTGTACAGGATTACTTGTAAAATTATTTTTTAACGAAGTATTTGAAATTTGTTGATGAAGAATTTTTTTATTTTCAGATTTTTGAGAAAATTTATGGTCAATTTTTTCCTGCTGGAAATCCGTCCCCTTTTGTTGATTATATTTTTAATGTATTGGATGTCAACAAGGTAAACTATCAAACTAGAAAAAAAAAAAGAAACATGTAAGCTTGTTTGCCATTTTAATGCTTTTTGTGTAATTTCTTGGTGTCAGTATTTTGCACGTTTTCATGATTCTAGAAATATTCCTTCCTCAATTCTGTTAAGCTTTTAACACCTTGTTATTGTACAGTGCAGGGGCTCTCAAACTTTCTCAACACAAGGTCCCCCAGAACACATCGCATCATGACTGAGGTCCCCAAACTCAATAAATATATAGACACTAAGTACAAGTAACAGTAATGTGTATTTTGTATATTTGTTATGCCCCAAAACTTTCCAATGCGCTCTCCTCCAGTTTGAAATCTCCTGTATTTGTTACCAGAAATATCGCTAGATAAAACAAACTCGTCTTTTCTCCATCCAGTAATGGTTCTGCTTATTTTAAATTTGCCATTAATGGTACAGTAACACTTTAGAAGATTTGTGTGTGTGTATTCTACATCTAATTTATAAACACATATATCGTATATATTTTTTCTTTCTCTCTCTCTCCCTGCACTGTTATGTCTATATTTGAATATATTATGCAAATTGATATCATTACAATTCAAATATTCAGAATAATTACTGAGTATTTATGTGATGTGAGTTATACCTCTGAAAAATACTGGTAAATGCAAAGACTGTAGCGCTTCAGAAAAGTGCATAGATTGAAGTAATAATTCTTATTAAGTAAAATATAAACACTTTATAATATTTATCGCCATCTAGAGGTTATAGAATTAGATAATTGTGATATTTAGCGCCATCTAGAGGTTATAGAATTAGATAATTGTGATATTTAGCGCCATCTAGAGGTTATAGAATTAGATAATTGTGATATTTAGCGCCATCTAGAAGTTGTAGAATTAGATAATTGGCAAATTTAGTGGTGTAAAGATTTAGGAAATTGTATATTACCTATGTAAGTAATATATAAGAAATGCTTTATGTTATCCAGGATGGAGTGGTTTCGTTTAAAGAATTCATCACCGCTATATCAGTTACAACGCACGGTTCCATTGATGAAAAGCTGAATTGTAAGTCAGATAGTTAGAAAATTATTCATATCTACACCCCTGTTCGTCAAAATAGGCTTAGCTGTGTCAGTTCAAATTGTTAAAGTCTTTGGTTAATATTCTTTATGAAATACTTCACGTGACCAGCGAGATTTGGTTATTCGTGTTTGTAAACGAATTGTTTGTTGTTTTTTTCATTTTAATATATTTTGTTTGACTGTATTCCAAATTTTCCCGATGAATTTCATCTGAACCTTCAAAAAATATCTAATTGGAGTTTGTCATTAACAGGGGCGTTTAGGCTTTATGATATTGACAGTGATGGATATGTGTGTCGCAGTGAGATGCTTGATATCGTTACCGCCATCTATCGGTTACACGGCAGATTTGATCACTCACTAGGTGAGAACGATGAACCAGAACAACGAGTGAACCAACTTTTCGATAAATTAGACAAGGTAGTTAAAACGCATTATAACTTGATTTCCTTAAAAATAATAAAAGAATATATATTTTTTATAAATATTACTTTCTCAACAAATGTTAGTTTTCTTGTTGCAGGTTTTACTTTTATTTTTTAAAATAAGCTGTATCTTTTCTGTCAGTTTATTGGAAATTCTCATAATATATATATATAGTTTCTATAACGATAACAACAATATGTAACATAAGCTTTAATGTAAAGTCCTTTACTTACCACTGATAACCTAAAATACTTTAGGTATCTGACTAGCATGTTACTACACTATATTAGGTATCTGAATAGCATGTTACTATACTATATTAGGTATCTGAATAGCATGTAACTATACTATATTAGGTATCTGAATAGCATGTTACTATACTATATTAGGTATCTGAATAGCATGTAACTACACTATATTAGGTATCTGAATAGCATGTTACTATACTATATTAGGTATCTGAATAGCATGTAACTATACTATATTAGGTATCTGAATAGCATGTAACTATACTATATTAGGTATCTGAATAGCATGTAACTACACTATATTATGTATCTGAATAGCATGTTACTATACTATATTAGGTATCTGAATAGCATGTAACTATACTATATTAGGTATCGGAATAGCATGTTACTATACTATATTAGGTATCTGAATAGCATGTTACTATACTATATTAGGTATCTGAATAGCATGTTACTAT